CAGCCCTAAAGATATATTTTTAAGGTAAGGAGAATATACCTTAGAAAAAGTCAGACTTCTCTATTTCTATGTTATTTGAAAGTTATTCTAATTGACTAACTTATACTTCTTTAATACTGTGAGTTTAGAAAATCTAAATTATGTAACATATTATGAACACAAGACATTCCTCCTTTCCTTCCTTCATTTCTCCTTTTCTCTTTTCTGCCTATAAATCTTTCCTTCTTTTCCTTAGCTTCAGTTTTGTCCCCCCCCGTCTTGTCTCCACATAGTTTTTGTGGTTTTTCAATCTTTCACAGGCTGGCTTAGCTCTTTGCTTTCTAGTAACAAGAGGGAAAACATAAACGTGAATGAGTAACTCAACAGCAAAGTAAATGCCCTTCTTCATAGTGTGGCAGCTTTAGTTTGCTTTATCTCTTAAAACTTCTAACTTCATAGAGCCCTCTGTAACTTAACCCATACTTTTCATAAACACAATTGAGATCAAAGATACACATCCGTCATTCAACAGGTCCTTATCTGACTAACCAGGTAATCCTGGGGCCTCTGCATGGCTAATGATGAGTTTAACAATTTGATGGGTTTTTAAAGAAGTCAAAGGACAACGCTGCTTTGAGAGTTTATAGGAAAAGCCCTTCGGAATGAAGAAACCCGATAAGGAAGGAGGGAGAGGGGTCACAGCAGGGGCCCAGGGTCAGAGGTTCCTGCTTATCTGCTAAGGATCTTTGGTTCTTCATACACATTAAGCAAAAACAGGACCTCAGAGGATAATTATTTGGGCAATGATTAGCTTTTAGCATATCTTACACTCACCCTTTTATTTCTTACTATACTCACATGGCAAATAAATTAATACATATTCTTTACTAAAAGCTATTAGAGCTGGGGCGATGGCTCAGTAGAATAAGCGCTTCCCTGGCAAACAAAACACAAGGACCTGAGTTCAATCCCTGGTTCCACCAAAACAAAACAAAAGAAAACAAACCCCCCAAAACAAAAAACAAAACACAGAACAAAACAAAACAAAGCTATTAGAATAAGGCAAATCCCCATTTCCCAGTGATTCTTGCCAGGAGTATCTTCAGAGTTTTCCAGTCAAACAACTTTATTTAAATATGTTGCAAATTAAATATAAAATTCAAGAATTTGGAATAGTATTTTGACCTGGAGGTCAAAAGCCTGGACAGTGGAGGCAGATGACATAGGGAGGCATATTATGTTGCCTGAGCAAACTTAATAGGTTTTTCTTAATTTCTTGGTGCCTCAGTTTCTTTCTTTCTTTCTTTCTTTCTTTCTTTCTTTCTTTCTTTCTTTCTTTCTTTCTTTCATTCTTTTAATTGTATTTAGTACAGGGTCTACAGGGTCTCACTACACAGATTGGACTCATAGTGATCCTCCTGTTTTCAGCCTCCCAAGCGCTGGGATCACAAGTGTGCACCACCACACCCAATCTGATAAACTATTCCTTTAACATCATTAAAAAACAAAAACAAAAGCAAAAACAGGGCCAGAGATATAGCTCAGCAGCGTAAGTGCCCACCTGGCAAGCGCAAGGTCCTGAGTTCTATCCCTGGTACAGCAAAAAATAAAATTAAAAAAAAAATGCCAAAGGTACTACGTAATACACATGGGAGGGAGAACAACCCACTCAGGTACCCTCCTGTCCCTCTCTCGGGACAGGAGCTTCCTTTCTCTCAATAAATATATTCTGCTTATAACGTCCATTTGTTCCTATTATGGTTTATGTCTAGGTGTCCCCCCAAAGCCTCATGCAGTCTTGGGGCAGCTTCTGGAGTTTGTGATTGATTATTGTTGGTGTGGTAATTACCTGGGGCAGGTAATTTGCATTGCAGTGTAAGGTGGAAAGAGAAGCCAGCTGCTTGAGCTGCTGCTGCCCCTCCCTTGTGCTCTTGCTCTTTGCCGC